GAGAGAGAGAGAGAGAGAGAGAGAGAGAGAGAGAGAGAGAGAGAGAGAGAGAGAGAGAGAGAGAGAGAGAGAGAGAGAGAGAGAGAGAGAGAGAGGTGTATCAAATGGTGCAGGATTTTGAGTCGTATTGTAACCGGCAGCAGAAATCTGCCACTATTATGAGTGCGTTGCACAGCATTCAGATGCTCACAAATGAGACGGAAGCAGTAGGGGTACCACCCACTATTGGCCTTGAAAAGGGAACTTAGGCTAACCAGCCACTAACAAGATACCCACCTCGTAGGTTGGAGCAAAATAGGTTAGTAATCGTAAAAAGGAGAGGCGAACAATACAGGTAAGTAGGTTACCTTTTTCCCCTGAGTAGAACGTTTCAGCCATTTTTACTGCATCTGGACTGAAAGTTGAGCCAAATACGGCTATAATGCCCATACGTTCTACTCACGGGAAGGTGGCAATTGTAGAAAGTTGAGGGGTGGTATATGTCGCTGATGCATCATTAGAAGAGGGGAACTGGGGTGAGGAGAGCAATACGGGTAGATAGGCTTAGTAATCATAGAAAGTGGAGGGGCGGTATGGGCCCGTCACTGTGCGGCCATGCTGTATGTACCTCTAGTGCCAAGCGGCGTGTCTGGAGCGAATTTTCTGGCTGTGGCAGACTGTTCTTTGTTTCCTGGGTGCTTTGCTGGCTTGTGATAGGGTGTGAACCTGCAGTGTGTAGAGTTTTTTGTCTGGTGGGGGTGAGTGATAGTCTGCTTTGATTTTCATCACAGGTACGTTGAGGGCAGTGGTTTGTGCCCACCTCAAGGTATCAGTTGTTGGCCAGTTGTTGATGCTCAACCGCAACCGGGGTTAAGTGTGGATTATCGCTTACAGTGTAATCAGTTAGGGGACTCTGCAGACTGTACAGGCTTTAGCCTCCTTATGAGTCGGTGATGCTCCGACGAAACAGTTTGTCACAGTCCCTCGTTTGTTGTCCGCTTCTCCCTCTCTGCCTTCGGTTTACCGGGCAGCTCCGTTTGACGCTATATGCAGATAAATCAGTAGACAAGAGGGTTGGGGTTTGTGGAGCGGACAGCCGCTTTAGGCCAAGGCAGGCTTGGTAGGGGTGATTTAGCTGGTTGCTCTGGCCACGGACTGTTTGACGAGAGCTGGATCCAGTTTAGGCCAATGCTCAGCAGGTTGGTCCTTAGCATAGGCAGGGTAGGGTGTCTGAACTTGGGGCCAAATCCAGGCCGAAAACCGGTCACAGTATGGGAAAGAGGGGTGTAAGCCTGTAAGGGTATGTGCCATGTGGTGGTGGTAAAAACTCAGAAGCATGTGGATTTGTCAAGTCAGCGTGCGAAAGCTTGTGAGGTGAGAGTGAAATCGAGGAGCTACCGTCTTCACCCGAATAGAACGCCCGGTCATTACAGCTGTATGTGTTGCAACTTTCAGTCCAGATACTGCAATAATTACCGGGCGTTGTATTCGGGTGAAGACGGTAGTAGCATGAACCTGCTAATACAGTCTCCTGCGGCAACGGACGTCTCCGTTAAACCACCAATGCATTCAGGCGCCACCATTTTGTACGAGGCGGATTCCCACTGTGCGCCAAGCTTTGCTGAAATGCCAGCGTGCAGTTTTGTTTCAGTTTTGGCTGGTGGCGCCAGCCATTTTGGTTCAGTTGCCCGGACCCTGTGAACTCAATCGTGTTTCTCAAGTTGGCTGGGGTTCTGGTGGTTTAAAATTGGAACGATACAGAAAAAGAAGATTAGCATGACCCCTGCGCAAAGATGATGACACGCACAAATCGAGAAATGGTCAAAAAAAAAAAAAAAAGAATCGCCAAGCTCCCCTGACCACGCCGGCTGCTGGCGCTACTGTCTTCCCTCTGAACTGAACGTACAGTCGCTATCGCTGTAAGTAGACGGAAGGTCACCCCAGATACAGGCATAATGACTGTATGCTTTATTCGGGGAAGATGGTAGTAGAAATGTTCTGGGGAATCGGGGATTGCCCCCTCATTGTAGGGACTGTCTCTTATACACATCTAGATGTGTATAAGAGACAGCCCCTGACCACGCCGGCTGCTGGCGCTACTGTCTTCCCTCTGAACTGAACGTACAGTCGCTATCGCTGTAAGTAGACGGAAGGTCACCCCAGATACAGGCATAATGACTGTATGCTTTATTCGGGGAAGATGGTAGTAGAAATGTTCTGGGGAATCGGGGATTGCCCCCTCATTGTAGGGACGGGTGATAGCGTCAAGTGGAAGGAAGGTGATGGCGGTCATGATGCTGTGGTGTTGACAACACACTTTTGAGTTGTTTGGAGCTCGGTCGCTCTCTGCGTTGCTGCTTGTATCGACATCTTATTGTGAAATACTTCAAATATGTGCGATCTTGTCGCGCATCATGCCGACATTTTGGGAGTGATAATCAGCGATTAGTGGAGGAGGAGCTATGTGCGTGCATGTTGATGTTATGGGGTGGATTATCGCAGATATTATAATGAAGAAAGCTGTGAAATAATGGCAGTGATTGGTGATTGGTTTTGCTGTCAGTTGGAAAAATGGTTACTTAAAAACACAAGTGCGTAATCTGTCTGTCCCCCTCCTTGAGGGTCGAATAAAATGAACGTACGGAAGCTATCTTTCCCGTTCTCTACGGTCATTTGAGGTTAGAATAAAATGAACTTACAGAAGCTATCTTTCCAGTTCTATACGGTCATTATTCAATCCCCTGAATAAGGGGATTGAATCAAATCGATTCAACATTGATAGTCATCAACGATTGTCATCTTTCCCCCGAACACAACACACCCTCATCATGACCGTACGGGGCTGGAAAGATAGCTTGTATACATTCACGATCAGGGTGGGTTGTGCGGGGGACTGGAAAAAGTATTAAGAGCGCTGAATGACGTTTGTGTGTGGGACAGAGGCGGGAGCCGTTGCTTTCCCGAGAATACGCTCATTGCTTTTCGGAATGCTGTCGAGTGGAGAGATGAGTCTGATGGCAAGGGTGTTCTTCGTCGAACACACATGATTGAGTTTGATGTCCAGCTGACTAAAGACAAGCAACTGGTAAGAACAGTAAATAGACGAAGAACCTGTGCCTGTCTCTATTTACTGTATATACTATACACTGTATACAGTGTATAGTAATTAATAATTATGATTGAGATCATTGAGTTTGATATCCAGCTAGCTAAGTACAGGAAATAGGCACTACAGTAACTTTGTTTACTATTCTTACTATGATGCATTTCCTGAGCACGCATAATTACTATACAGTAACTACAGTAACTTTGTTTACTATCCTTACTATGATGCATTCCCTGAGCATGCATAATTACTATACAGTATGATCATACAGTATGATGGTTAACGTTTTATCGTATACGTCCTTCGGGACTAGTAACATCCGCTGAAATTGGAACGATATAGAGAATGAAGATTAGCATGGCCCCTGCGCAAGGATGACACACAGAAATCAAGAAATGGTCCAAATTAAAGAAAAAAGGTGACTCTATTTGTCTATCGTGTATGTATATACACTATATATTAATATATAATATATACAAAATGAGAGGCACGGTGAAGGGGGAGTTGAAAAAAGAATGAGAAAAAAATTATGAGCGTGGTTTCAGTCTGCCCCTGATGTTTGTCTTGTGTCTTTTAATCTTTAGCGTTTTGTTGCACAAAGTGCGCTCTTTTAGTTTATAGTTATGTGACAATGTATACAGTATGTACTATGAAGGATTCTTATCTGTCGACTGGAGATCGAAATCCACGCTGCAGGAATCAGGAATAAAAACGAGGGAAGATGTAGTCTTCTCAGGGTATCCGTTGGAAGTCCGGACAAGATCACGATCGTTTGTTTTACAAAATCCAAGGGCGCAGAAGTTAAGCTCTACAGTCGGAAGTTAATTCAGGGGGGGGACAAGGTTGTCAAACCACCACCACTTCTGAGCGTCTTTTTGCCGAGGCGGAAAGGAACTGCGCACCAGTGGGACTTTTTTCTTTTCTGTCCTTTCGCTGCCGCTGCCAGCCATTTTGGTCCGGTGGCTCCCGGCCTCTGGAGAATGCGGTGTATTGTATTTTGGTGTTTCGAGTTTGTCTGTGAAAGGTAGTTGCTGTTCAAACCACCACTACCTTCTGGAGTCAAACGCTAAGTCGAAAAATATAGCCTATACCCCATTCTTCGGAGGCCGGGCAGCTTGGGACCAAGATGGCTGGTGGCGGCAGCCAAAACAAAACAAAAACGTTGCACTGGCACTTTGGCAAAGCTTGGCATGCAGTTCTTCTCCACCTCGGCAAAAAGGGCCTCGCAGGTAGTGGTGGCTTAATGGAAAAAGAAAAAAGACTTAGAGCAGAAAATTAAGGGGCCAGAGAAACAAGGTTCTGAACCCCGGTTGAATTCAACTATCCCATAGTCTGTTGGACCATCGAATATGTGTGGACCCTCCCACAGTCAGGCCCAGCTGGTCTTTTTGTCCCATTTTTGAATATGTGTGCATTGTCATGTTCGCTATACACAACTCCACAAATAAGACATGACTGTTTCATTGGACTTTCGCCTACTCATCAGG